GTTTCAGTCCTTTTGTGTCTGCAGATGGATGACTGTTCTAGTTACGTTTTTAGATTCGTTTGAAAAGTGCGCGCGTTTGATTTTATTTTATGTTTTAAGTGTATTTTGATATTATTGTTCGTGTCCGTGTTCTGTGTGCACTTTTTTGTAATTTTAGTACGTCTCGATGTGTGCTACTTCAATGTTATTGTTTGTCTCTTCTAAAACCCTACTTTTGTTTTGTTTTGTGCAGAAAAAAAAATATGCTATACGTACAAATATATTTATAAAAAAAAAAAAAAAAAAAAAAAAAAAAAAAATAACGAATAAATAAATACAAAAAGAGTTCAATTGATGATAGTACATGTATATTGAGAACTGTGTTTATCGATACTCGCCTTCATCCACGAATTGGGTTAAAATATTGTTTCGTCCACATTCACACACAGTGTCTCGATACGCTATCCTGATCCTCCGCATACCATTTTATTATACTTTTGTCTGCAAACGCTTTAATCCTCATTAAACCCTTATCTCCACCTCATTATCGATTTGTCTATCGATCCGTGACGTCACCTCCCCACAGCCACATCCCCTCTGATGATCCTCGTCGGGGTTACCGATATGATCCTCGATGAGGATCATGATCCTCCACAAAAAACCAGGGTCAAATACGCAGTCTACACTACTGACTCAATTGGTGAAAAGCACTTGTGATTTGCTGACGTGTTGAGCACATTAATATCCGAGTTCACGGAAAATGGGTACTGTGTGCGTGCCCAGTTTAGTTTGATCAAAAGTAAGGCTAGGAAAGTAGGAACATAAAACATCAGTATCGTGGAAGTGTTTTTTTTTTAGCATTTAAGCGAGAACTTTCTCCATGATCACAGCACCATACCAGTGCCATTAAGGGCGGATATTATAAAGGTGGAATTTGGACCGGGCTGGGCGTTGCCCCTTATTCGAGTACTATATCTGTCATCCTTCCGACCCTCCGTGATAATAATATAGGCGAAAGAGCTTAGAATATGGAGAGAAAAACAAGACACGGCGTTACAACGCAAATTTTGATGTATTTCAAGTATGCAGGAAACTACAAATGAGAATTGGGATCTTGTTTAACTTTTGCCACAGGGACGGCGGGACAAGTGGTTTACCAACCGAACCCCCCCCCCCCTTATCTGCCTTATTTACTGTAACTGTTAATACTCCCATTATTTCGAACGTCTGATATAAAACAGGAAAGTTACATAAAATGTCTAACATTCGTGGATTTTTTTAATGCCAGACACGGCAGATTTTTTTGCCTAGCATGCACGCATAAATTTGCACATAAAACCGCCAAATTTCAGGCCAATTATAAAGCTGCCGTTATGATTCCCATGAATGGTTTCAGACCTATCTTTTTTACACACATGCATTATCCTAGCGAACACGCGTTTGCCGCCAACTTGAAAAGAAACGTATTGTGACCGGCAAGATTTTTGAAACTTACATTCCTTCAATTCTTTAGAGAAATAATAAGGCCTACACGGAAATGCATGGTTTCCAAGATAGACCTATAATTTTTACGTCAGAAGGTAGGGTGCCACTTTTGAACGATTATCATTTCACCAGAAACGCATGATGTAGAGTTCACGATGGCGCATTCTGTACAGTACTGTGCATGTCCGACATTATTTGGGCCCCGGGCCTCTAACACTTTTTTTTTTCAGAAAGTGGAAAACACTGTGTGGATCCTATGCGTGCGTGACATATGGGCGTAAAACGATAAAAAAAAAGGGGGGGGGGTGGGAAGGAAAAAGAGGTGCGAAGCCATATTGCTATTTATTTGATGGGGGGGGGGGGCAAATGCTCCCCCGCTCATGCTCGGAAAAATGACAAATTGAGAATATAATGAAAAAGTTAAAAAAATTGCTTTGCCCCCCCCCCCAGCCCCCCTGGGAAAAAATCCTGGCGACGCACATGGTGCGTGATCCATAGTGTGCGCGTTCGTTCCTCCAGTTTGTTCAAAGATCCACCGGCCGTGACTGCATCATGATTGCTTGTACACTCGTGTTCCCTTTTGTTTGTGACTCGAACTTTTTCTCGACAGCTCCCATACATGAAATTTTCCCGAGGGCCTGGGCCCTGGCCCATTGAAGTCGCACACACTCCATTGTCCCAAGTTTTCAGTCTGAATGGATAACCAACCCATCACCCAAACCAATGATCTCCATATGGATCTCAAGTTGATCGGATCAGAGCCCAGGGTGTAACGCCCTGCATAATTATAAGCCCATCACATGCACAATGTTTCGCCCAGTCTCTGAAAAAGGCATTTTTGGTTTAGGGTTAGTGTCGCAATATGAAGTATAAGTGGAACACTCAAGGAAATCATGATACGAAATTTGCGCTGAATGATTGTTTACAGTATTTGTCTCCGGTTTTTCTTAACTATATACACGAAACCAAAGGAATGACCACAGTACAGCGCGTCCCTAAATACCCTCAACATTTTCTTTTGCGAGGCTCTGTTGTAGCGTTGCCGCGGAAACACCTATACCGCCACTGTTTTACATCATTTTAAAGCTTAGAATCTTAATCTCCATGGTAAGTATTGGTTTGATTTTCAAAAGGGTTTTGAAATGATTCGTGTTCAAATAAAAGCATGTCAAAAACAAACTCAACCGATTTCAAGGAAAACTGGCCATGCGCACTGTTTTTGAATGTGCTAATGGTTCATCATAATCATGATGTGACGATCTCGTTGCCTTTTACATTTTGTGTTTCCTATTATTTTCGATCCACGTAGACTACTTTGCTCACAAAATTGTTCTTCGTTTCAAGTTAAAGTTTTGAAATACACTAGCGTGCGGTATACCTTTATTCAAAAAGCGCGCTCAAAGTGTGACTCGACTTAGGCTGATGTATACCCCATCATCGATTTTCCTTGAAACCGGTTGAGTTTGTTTTCGACATGATGCCTTTATTTGAACACGAATAATTTTAAGAACTCTTTTAAATATCAAACTAATACTCGCCAGGGATAAAGTTCAGATTCCAAGCTTAACGTGTTTCCGTGATGACGCTATAGAGCCTCGCAAAAAAAGTTGCGTATATTTAGGGACGCGCTGTATGTAGAAAGGTAGAAACCCTGATTTCTTAAGTAGCTGATGGGCCCGTAGAGATACTTGTTTTTCGTCTGGGATTTGGAATGCCCCTCATTTTCTTGTTACGAAATAAACTTGGCTCTCTTTTTTAATCCAATTAATTAGAAAAAAAACCTACTCGAACGAAGATTTCGTGGGCCAGCAAAAATTATCGGTCTGTTAAGGCCAAAAAAAAAAACTCGGTCTCTGGTCAGCGCGCGCGTCGATTTTAATCATGCGCGTCAACCTCCCCCCCCCCCCCCCCAAATTAACACGGAAGCTACAACAGCGCCCTCTATTGCCGCCCTCCTCAAATTTTTGTACCAAGGAGCACCATGGAATGGGGAAATTGCACCAAGGCAAATGATAAAGGGCACCAAGGCAAATTATGGAGGACACCACCTTGTCTGTACAATACAAGCTTGAAAAAAAAAAGCCACCAAAAAAAAAAAAACCGCGTCGCCGCATCAATTCCGGAACTTCGGTCTGACCAGAGACCGACTATTTTTTTTTTTGGCCTTATGCTGCGGAAAATCGTAGCGGGTCCTGTGCCGGCATAAACGAAATAGCTCAAAAGATTTAGTGAGCTATTTATGAGGGTTTTTTTAATTTGTGAATGAGTAGCTAGGTGGGACTGAGCACATATCCGTGGTGGGCCCGAGTGACCGTGTCAAAGCCTCATTAGCTGCGGCGGTCTTCAGGCTCTATTCCAACCAGACTCGGTCCCGAAACTGAAACCAACCCGAAACCGACTTGCAGTGCGTGAGTCGCGGGTCGGATTGGTTTCACGATTTACTACGCGGATGCTCAGATCGGAATCGCAGTAGGTATTCTATTTGGAATCGGTTTCCCGCGGCGTGATCGCGGACATGGTCCCCTTCCTTCGTGGTCAACTGAACCCTGTACCTATAGCTGCCATAACCCTAATTTGAATCTCGTAAAATAGAGTGCAATCTCTTTTGATAACGAAATTTCTTTGTATACGTACGTGTACTCTGTTTATGAACGTTACCATCCCTTATGCATCTGCCCAGACATGGCACATGGGCCGCATGTGGGCTTAATGTGGGTAATCCCTTATGTATCTGCCCAGATATATGGCATATGGGTCCCACAAGGGCTAATGTGGGCAATGCATGATCTGCTGCTGCCCAGACATTTGGCATTATCGGCGCCATAAGGGCTAATGGAGGAATTCCTCCATAATGTGGGCAACCTCAGCTCATATTGCATCTGCCCAGACATTTAGTATATGGGCACCATAAGGGCTAAATGTGGGCAATCCCATATGCACATCCATGCATCTGCCCTATATGGGCCCATCTTATAGCTACCCATATGATGGGAATGCCCATGAGTATGCCCATATATTTGGCATATGGGCCCCATCAGGGAATGTTACCTGGGACCTCACTCAATGCGGATATATACGGCCTGCACATTCTCGAATGTGTATCCTTGTGGAGACATTTCTTTGTTCTCGCGTAGTAAAGTTTTCGAGTTTCAAAGTGAAGTTTCAAAATGCTCTTGTTTTAACCAGAATTAATTTCCTTGGCTGAAAAACTCTTCCACTTTGCGACAGATCAACCCACCTTGGAAATTCCTAGTTTTTGAGTAAAATCCACATATCTATTTCGTGAAAACCTTGTGGAGACCTATTCATCTATAGAATTGCCCTGTGGAGACCTATACAGTATTTTGTTCCCTATTGTGGAAATGTCTCCACAAGGATACACATAAGCGCTCATACTTTCACTTACACACAAAAAAAACCCAGTGCCTTTCGGAGTACACGTAAACACAAATTGTAGTGTGTCCGGCTTAAGGCACCGTAGGTTTCCGAGACTGGTCCCCAAACTGAGAATAAGGATTGTTAATGGCAATGAAGCAGGAAGTAAAGGGTATCCATCTACCCGTACCCGGATATTATGAGGCAAATGCGAGCGCCAGATAAATGCACGTGTACTTGTACAAATACGATAACAACCCAGTGAATGAACTAGAATCTACCTCACCGCACCGAGAAGGGGAAGTGTTGGCATTTTTTTTGGAGAGTGTCGGTAACAAAGCCATTTGAGGAAGTTCATCTGTGCTCACGGTGTGTGATCACTGAAACAGTCGTATTAAACTGGATTGATCGTTCGGGGGAAGCACTCTGCACAGAATTTTGCAGAATTCTGTGACTTTCTTCACAACTTCGCCATTCGCTTCCCTCACCGCGCCGCAGTTCCACACGTTCCTTGAGCGAGTGAGTATGCAACTGCAAGTTGAACTTATATTTAAAGTTGCGGACTTAAGGCGATCGTGTAGTGTAGGGCCTTGTTTAGTTTCGATCAAATTAGATTCAAGAGTTTTTTATTACCCCAAAATGACATTTTCAACCTGAAGCAGACTTCTCTCAATTACTGTAAATCACCTAGGCTTTTTTTGTAATTTTTATTTTAACAATTTCTTGACTTGGGGAAGAAATTACGATTTTCCTAGTCCGAGTAACTGGGACCCAACTTATCACCTTTTTAACATTCGGACATAGTCTGGCGATAGCATCACTAGGCCATATCCGAATATCCCATTTTCCTATGTTTTTGTACATAGTGGAAGTGTGGCCTTTATTTACGGAGGTAGTCCAGTAAATTGGCCACATTTATGGGGCTATACTTTTATAAGAACCGGGCCGCGCCCATATACACGATCGCTGAATTAAGGCACAGGTGCATTCTGGTTCTAGAAGTTGGTGAAATAGCTTCTGGGGAAAAAAAAATGGAATATAGTTGTTTAATTTTCCGATTAAAGTGAACTTATCTTGGCGTAAACATAAGTATAAACTACAGTATTGTTACTCTGACCCAGTGATATGAAAAAAAAAAAAAAGCAACTTACCCCAACCCCACCCCCAAAAAAGAAACAAAAACAATCCTGACCATTTCTAACGTTGCCTTGCAGAACATTAGAATTTTCCAACTGTGCCTTCAATTCCGTAGCTGTTATAACCACCATTTGACGGGATGTCTGACACATCATCAAGCAGCGGCCTGAAACAAAGGAAGGTCAAGTCTCCGTCGTCTTCCCCTGGGGTGGAGGAAGTGGACACCAAGAAGAAAGAGCAAGTGCCTGTGCCACATGTTCGGAAACTAAGACCGCCGACTTTATGGTAAATCTTCTGCTATTTGGCCCATATACACCTTGTGTCCCCTTGTTGACCCTTTGTAGGGCCAACATCTTTGACGCTCGATCATCAATTTTTTTTTTTCACAGGTATTCCCATGAGTAATAATAAAATAATAATAATGGTTTTTTGTATAGCGCTCATGTCTGTTATGAAGTGACGCTCCAGGCGCTCTATTATTACCCTGGCTTTAGCACGGCTGCCATTACGGCGCTCAAGCATTGAAGGAATTTCTTCCAACCAGGTACCCATTTACTACACCTGGGTGGAGAGAGGCAATCGTAGTAAAGTGCCTTGCCCAAGCGCTCAAGCACCATGTTGAATGTTCCCCGTCAGGATTCGAGCCCATGTACCACGGCACATGAGTCGAACTCCGTAACCATTGGACCACAGCACCTCACTTGACCCTTGTAAATGAAAGATGGCTACCGATTGTAAAAGGGATATTGTAATAATCTTTGAATTACAATGGGCCTCTTGCTCAATTCGGTTGATACAAAAGCTAGACGGGGTAGCACGGCCACCTTTTTCAATTTTTTATTAAATTTTAATCTTTAATAAGGGTATTCCAATTCAGTTTATTAAAACACTTGTTTCCGAACATTCAATAATACCAAATTACTATTGATGCTTAAAATTAATACATTTGGAATAAAATAAATGGTGTTGATTTAGATTCTTACATAATGCCTTACCTAACATACAATTGGTAAAGCTGAGGCCAAAACAGTTGACTCAAGTCTCATGTTCTGCGATTTGTTCAAGGAATATGAGTGAAATCTGAAAAGTTCCATGTCCATATCATGGACATTACACAGCGTCAGGGACATCATACAAATCAGAGAATGCTCAGTGAATAAACCGGAAAAGTAATTTTTTTTTAAATCTTATACATTACATCACTTATATTTTTTTATTTTAAATGTCAATGACAGAGCCAATTAATAATGATATGTGACCTGCCATAGCATAATGAGGAATGACCCCCACCTTCGACTTTTCACGTTATGTACATCATGTTAGAGGGCAAATCATTGGCTTTCCAATGATATCAAATTTATTGCTATAGCTTAATTTATTCCAAAGATATGACACAGGAACTTCAACAGTGTCCTGCCAAGTTTCGCTAACCTCATTTTGAGAAAAACGGCTTTGAAAAAAAGAAAAGGCTTTGCGCCGCCAACGGCACTGAAAAACGTTCTTCAGTTTTTCCACTTTTGTGGGTATTTTTTTCCCAACAAAAAGGCATAGTGTGAATCGTGGATAACTTGGCTACTGAAAAATACAAAACAATCAAAAATGATTTACACATGATTTTTCTAGTACCATATATCCGACTTCAGGCGTTGATTACTCAAAACAAGGTTTTGCATTGTTTTGGGGGACATGCCTCATTTTGCCTCAGTAGCTCACATATGTAATTCAAAAGAAAATGATTCAAAGAAATTATACAAAACTCCAAGTGTGTAATCTCCTTGACATTACTACATGATGGACGTATAAGATTTGAAATATATTTTTATGTCTATTCACTGAGCTAAACAGAACACAAAAACTTTTTGGATTTGTAAGGACGGTGGAATTGCTCTAGACTGACAAGCACAATTGCTAACTACTCACCATTTATGAATATACTTCTCAAACTTTTCCGAGATACAATGTATGTGTTCATTCATATTTGTAATTTTTATTTTCACAGGCAGCGTGTTAAATTTCTACTGAAAATACTGTTGGGGGTCGCCATTATTGCCGGTGGAATTACGTATTACATAGAGTCACCAATCAATCCTGAAGGTTTCAGGTGAGTCTGATTGATTGATCCATTGTGTATTGGATTTTTGAAAAACACAGTCAGAATTTGGGACCAATTGTGGATGATGTGAATCAACGGTAATAATAATCTTCTGTTGAAGGAATGTGCTTTCCTTAGATGCCTTGGACTTGGACATATATACGGACTATATGTACATATAACCCATTTTTTACATTGTATTTATCTCCTGAAGAATCCATAAGAACCAATGAGTGCTTGGGCAGTTTTGGGCGGTACAAGGAGTAAAAGACAGGGCAGTTTGGGGCTGTACAGGGACTAGTTTGTAAAAGTACTTTTCAAAGACTTGACAAACTACAAATGTACCCCCTGACTCATTTTGTAGGGATCATGGTGCTGGAACTAAGTGTGTGCCGAGTAACTTTGCTACAGCCGTCAAATAACACACGCACCTTTGAAAGCTGGGAAATCCACTTTAAAAAGATGAGTGTGATACTGCTGGTCATAGCCAGAGACAGCCTTAGTTTCAGATTTGTCATACATCTGGGCACTCTGTATCAAAATATGGCATTACATATAAAACTGCTAAATTTTTTTACAATGTACTGAGGATAATGTTAATCATAAGCTGGGAAGAAAATCAACAGGTACATTGTTCAAAGTTATTTTAAAGTGGGCTTGAAACTGTGAAACCTTTACCCTCAAAGTTGATGTTTTGTTGTTTCTTTTAGTCTTCCAACTCCTCCGACTCTAAAGGGCGTTCTTGCCCCCAACACAAGGCTGTATGATGGTGTCAAGATCCTGGAAGGGAAGATCCGAGGCCCGGAGTGCCTGGTGGAATATAAGGGTTAGTGCCTGGTGGAATATGACAGTTAGTGCCTGGTGGAATATAACAGTTAGAGCCTGGTGGAATATAACAGTTAATGCCTAGTGGAATATAACAGTTTGTGCCTGGTGGAATATAACGGTTAGTGCCTGGTGGAATATAACGGTTCCTGGTGGAATATAACGGTTAGTGCCTGGTGGAATATAACGGTTAGTGCCTGGTGGAATATAACAGTTAGTGCCTGGTGGAATATAACGGTTAGTGCCTGGTGCAATGTGACGGTTAGGGCCTGGTGCAATATGACGGGTAGTGCCTGGTGCAATATGACGGTTAGTGCCTGCTGCTGTAAGTCAAGGGCTCTAGACTTCCTTGGAAGTCCTTGTTGTCAGTGTTGAAATTACAAAAGATATTGAGTGAGCTTTGTTCAGAACTGTTTCATAGTTGGACTAACTTTCACTCCATGGGTGCTAGTCAGTGTTAGTTGATACACAGCCTACATAGGTTGGTTGCATTGTTGCAGTGTTGTAGTCGAGTACTTTCATCTGAGTACAAAGTACTACAAAGTACCACTCGCATTCGAGTACTTTAACCCTTAAGAATGAGTATGGAACCCAAGTCCAAGTACTTGGGCCTTTGAGTACAAATGTTGTGAAGCCGAGTCCAAGTACCTCCAAGTACGAGTACTATGACTCGATCCCACGCTGACATGCCAGTCGCAGAGACGAAACATGTTGTCTATGCAAAGACTAACACAAAGTAAATTGATGCTCTCCACAACCCGGTACTTTTCAGTAAGTATCGATAAAACGGAGCATGTGCCTCTCCATGTGAGTTTTTTTTTTTTAATTCAAAACTGAATAACTAGCTTTTTTCCCCAGAGTCCTTATAATCAGGCATTATTGATGACGGAGTACAATATCCAGTAGCCGAGTCCAAGTACTTTGCTTCTCGAGTACGAGTCCCGTGATTTCGAGTTCGAGTATTTTGATATTTGAGTACGGGTGTGAGTTTCAGTATTCTCAAACGTACTTGAGTTGTTCTCGAGTACGAGTACCAAGTAAAAGTACTACAACCGTGCATTGGTGGTTACCAATTTGAATGCGTTTTTATTCCTCAAATCATTGTACCTTCCCTCAGAATTAAAAGCAAATCAGGTTTTTTTTTAATGCTGTGTTTTTCTTTCTCACAGGTAAAATTTTCACAGGGACGTATGACGGTGCAATCATGAGAATCACCAATGAATCAAGCCTGCGTAGTATGGGAAGGCTAGGTACCAGACCATGCGGTAAGTACAATTTACTTCTATCTATCTATCTATCTATCAGGCTACGTCCATCCACTGTCGAATGAAGCCCTCCTCATGACGTTTCCAATCACTTCTGTTTCTGGCTGTCCTAGTCCAAGTCGCTGTTCCCATATATGTAGTTATATCATCTCTCCATCTTTTCTTTGGTCTTCCTCTCCTTCGCTTTCCCATTCGTGGTTGCCAATCTGTTAATCTGCATGTCCATCTATTATCCTGAATTCTTGCTACATGCCCTGCCCATCTCCATTTTGCTTCGCTGACTTTCTCTATGACATCTTTCACCCCAGTTTTCTGCCGAATAACTTCATGTTTTACTCTATCTCGTAGGGATAAGTGAAGCATCTTTCCATAGCAATGTACCTTATTACTCTTTATATAGACTTGTTGCACAAGTGCCCCTCAAAAAGTTAAAAAAAAGAAGAGTTTTGGGGAGAGCACCTGAAAACATTTATTGATGTGTCAAAAAAGTAGAATACTGAGAGAAGGCCATTAAAATTTCTATTTTTGTATTAGTTAAAATGAAAGATGCCAATTGTTTTCCTTTAAAAACACTTTTTTTCCACATATCGTATACTATATCTTTAACATACCTGAATGGGTGTAGAAGACATATCAAAGATTACAAATATGAATAAATTTGAAAATCGAACAAAATATCACCAACATTCAGTTTTTTGCATTTTTCTCCACTACAGCCTTTCTTTTGTACTGTAATTTTCAAGGGTGGCCAGAAGGAAAAACCCAGAGACTATTACTTTACATGTTTTTGTGTGTGTAAATGATATCAATCCTCAAAAACTCTTCCAACACTTTGAGGATCGGGAAGTTACCAGTCAACATGAGACTGGTAGGGGCCTAAAAAATCAGCAAATTTTCTATTTGCTTTTCATAGCAGGGCTGGGATTTGGCATAATGTTTCCTGATTTCAGGAGCTTTGCCAGGATTAATCCTGATTTCAGGTGTGTTTTTTAAGAATCCCATTTGGAATCTGGAATCCCTGAAATTTTACCCTAAAGGTGGATTACCCATAAAAGTTTTATACACAACAAAAGAAATGGGTATTTTAAAAAGTGCTCAAAATCTAAAGAAGGGTGCTGAACAACTAACCTGATGAAGTTTCAGCTCAGTGAATGCTGTATATTCCGAAAAAACAATATTCTAGCATCTTGATTTCAAATCAAAAGTTGCTGAGTCATATTTTGAATTGGGCCTGAATTCAGCGTCTGAGACACGTTCTCACTGAGCGGATTGCAGCTACACGATGTCACGCACTGAACCGACGAATTATAGCAACCGCGCGCGTGCATCGTGCCAACGCTTTGGTGCGCTTCTCCGGAAATTTCCAACGATAGCGTCTTTAGACGCATTGTTGGAAAGGCCTTCTTTTATTGATTTCATCAAAACGACAGTTTGCCAGAAAGAATAATTTCACAGGGAGTTTAGTCCCATTTCTATCTTTTAACCGAGTATGCTTTTCAAAAATAATTGCATCAGTTACTTTTTGGATAGCTGCAAATGATGGACTGTACCTTTAATACATGTTCCCCCATTGTCACCCCTGTTATAGGCACTCCAGCTAATGAGCCCAGCTGTGGACGCCCACTAGGAATGAGAATCTACAATGGTGATATTCATGTGATGGACAGCTATATGGGGCTCTTCCGTCTGAAGCACAATGGTATGCCCATTTGAGAATGCTGTACCAATAAGCCTCTGTACTGATGACGTCACACTTTGTTTACGTGTGCACTTTTCTATGGGATAACGAAACCGTCGTCCACGCCAGGTTCCCATAAGAAGCACACGTGTGAACAAAGTGTGACGTCATCACTACAGAGGCTTATTAAGATCATTCTAAGGTGGATTTCCAACTACTCAAGAACATTGATACATCCACAGTTGTTTCAGATTTTTTAGTCTTTAGTTTATTTCAGATCCTCACAAACATTAAGAAATTAATTCATTAAACATACATAAGTTTCAAATTAGGTTTTTGCCCTTCACCGATGTTTAAACACTGTATACTCAATGTGTTACCTCCCGAGTGAAAGATGGAAAAAAAATCACTCGGGTGGGACTCGAACCCACGACCTCCTGCTTTCTAGTGCAGATGTCTTACCTCTCGACCACCGAGCTAACGGGATTGGTTGGCTGCTTCGAATCTGATGTACATAGCAGCGGGTACCGCGTGAAGGGAAAACCTAATTTGATTTATATCACCCCGACGCAAAATTCCATCTTATAATAACATAAGTTTACAGAATCGGTTAAATTGGGAACCATAAGAACACCAACCTACCAACCAACCAAAATAAAATGCAAACACTCATAAAAGTTCTACTTAGTTGAGATTTAAATTTTTTTTTTTAAATATCGTTTTGTTCAAGCTTTTGTCAGAGCATAACCATGCTGTTATTATCTGGAATCAACAGTTTAAATCCCAGTAAAAACAAACAAGTTGAAGAAAAACATTTATTGACTTAAAAAAAATTTGTGAAGTAAACTGCCTAGAAACAAAATATAAAAAGACATTGGGCTCACTTGTTTAAAGCACCATTATTCCAGTTAGTCCGGGAATGTTATTTTGTATATTTGCAACCAATAGTGCAGCGGATATTCGAAGAAATTGTGCACTTTTGCATAAAAGCGTGAAATTTGGCACAGATGTTCATATTCATGCGAGAAAATGGTTTAGATGTGGAGCCATCGCAAATTTACCCTTTTAGGGGCGTTGCATCCATTTTAAAAACGGGGGCGGGACTCATCATGCCCGCAGTAAAAACGGTTGTTCCCACTCGTCACAAAAGCAGTAAACTTCACAAAGACATAATTATATAGATTATAACTGTTTTCCAGATGCGGAGCCACCACAAAAGTACCTTTGTGGCAGCCATTTAAAAAAAGGGGGGGGGGGGGTTGTTAATTATTTTGCCTACCTTAGGAAAAATTGTGCCCACATTTTATGAACGAATGAAACTTCCCACAGACGTTTATATTTATGAGGAAAAAAAAATCTATATGTGTTTTTGTTTTTGTCTCATTGGTATTGGTATTTTTTGGCCACCTTTCCTCTTGCAGGAGTTATTGACTGGCTACTGACCAGTGCTAGGTCCTACGATCAGTTTCCCCTCAAGTACGGTAACGACCTGGAAAAGATGAAGGGTGACAACAAAGACTTCTTCTTCATCGATTCTTGCAAGACGTGGGACCACCGCCAGCGAGATAACATCTTGTGGGAGGCGGGTGGCTGTGGGAGGTAACTGGGTTGTTTTTTTCTCAGTCATTATCTATTCAAATGAACTGTGGTGTATTGTCCATGTCCCCTAACACGGCACGGCCCCTAACATTGGGCACTTGGACTTTTCGCTTCTGGTGCCCTGCTAGAGCAAAAGTTTTGCCTCAAATTGCACACTAACTGAAATTTTCATCAAGCTCTAAACATTCTTGATATAAAGCTTGAGTTTGCCTACCCGAGAAAGAGAGAAATTTTGCTTTGGTGCAATTTTTAAAAATGTTTTTTGAATGGCACAGATAAAACCCTTTCAAAATGCACCCAAATTAAGATAATAAGTTGCAAACATTTAACATGTTTTTGTAAATATGTGACTGGAAATAAGAATGGTTTATCAGAATTGGCCAAGTTTAAAGAAATTTGTAAATGTTCACTTAGGGATTTCCGAGATTTGTTCAAGCGCGCCATGTTAGAAAACACTCTACAGATTTTCTGCCTAATTTCCGGACGCCACCATTGTTTCATTTCGGACAAAATTTTGTGACACTTAAAATGTTCACAAGTGTGCAACAGCAAGCATTATTAAGCTAATAGTAACGGTATTAATATCTGAATGAATTTGAAGCTTGACAACAAAGTTGTTTGGCAACACTGCATGAGGAAAGTCCGGGGAAACATCAAAGTGTGCAACTTTAGGGGAAACCACCACAGGAATTCCTTCGTCATTGTTTATCCTCATGTGACTAGACTTGTTAATTTCTTTGTGAAAGGACTTGTGACGGACTCCACTACAACATCGGCAAAAATGCCATCAAAGTTATCCAGTTTAGTAGGTGTGGATAGAGGAGAATGAATTTACACTATATTTCAATATTTTCCCTTCCAGGTTATTGTGGTTCAACCCTGTGAACAACATGAGTAACATTGCCATACCTAAGCTGTACTACCCAACAGGCATACAGTTCTCCCCCGATGAAAACTTCATGCTCATCTCAGAAGCAACACGCTTCCGCATTCTCAAGTAAGTTTTATTGTATTACTCTTTCCACAAATTTGTTTTTCAAGTTATAGTGTCCCTGTTGTTCTTGTCAGTATTTGCTTAAAAGGCACCACTTTTAAGGCCAAAAAAAAAAGTCTCCGGTTTCTGGTATGGAGCTTGCCCAAAAAGTGATGTGGCGACGCGGCTTTTTTTTTTTTTTTTTTTACCTGACTTTTTTGCTTCAAATGTGTGCTGATGACTGCAAATGGTGTCCGACTAAACTTAGTGCAAATATATGGGAGTCCAGAGAGGCCACATAAAGCTTATTCTCGACCATAACCCAATATAAAAACACGTTAAAATTGTGCAGCAGCAGTATTCCAGTCAAACCAGTGAGTTTGGCGGTTTTGGGACATCATCTTTCATTAAAAAAAAACCTTTTTCATTTTGCCGACGCGCATGGCTACGGCGACGCGCGCGCATACCAGAAACCGGAGACTTTTTTTTTTGGCCTAAAAAAAAATAGTTGTTTTTGGCACACAATGTCACAAATGGAGTACATTGACGTTATTTCCCATTTTCTTGCAGGTATTATTTCCAGGGCCCACTATCCGGTGGCTATCAGGTATTTGCCAAGAATTTACCGGGTTCCCCAATGAAGGTCCGGCCCAGCGCCAGCGGGGGTTACTGGGTGGCTCTGGCTCACGTCGGGGGACGGATTGGCTCCTCCATTCCCATCATTGACTTCCTGTATGAGAGGCCCTGGCTGCGGAAAATCATCACAAAGGTGGGTGTCTTGATCGTGAGGATTGTTAATAGATCTCCAGATTTTGGTGTCTGTTATTCTGCACGTATCTGACTGACTGACCCTCAGGCACACATGACTGAGCCTGGTTGTTGGCTGTTGAATGAGCCAGGCAGTGCTGTTGTATAGGATAACTGCGTAACACCGATGAATTCTGAATCAATTGAATAGGTGCTCTGGGACCAACTGTACTATGCTTGCCTTGCCTTGTATTGTTTTTGTTTGTGTGGGGAAGAAGCTTTATTGTTTGTTTTTGAAATTGTAAACAATTTAAGCACAAGTTAATCAAAAGGTTTCCGGTCTCAAGTCCAGCTATTCAAGGCTGGCCTTGGCAGAGTTGTAATGACTTGAGTCACTCGAGTCACAATTTGTGTGATTCGACTCGACTCGAGTCACTGTGAACAAATAACTTGACTCGACTCCAGTCCCTCATCAGAAGACTCGACTCGACTCGACCTTCTTGACCTAATGACTCGACTCGAGTCACTTCTTTAAAATGACTCAACTTGACCCGAATCACAAAAATGAGTGACTCGTTAACAACTCGCCTTGGGCACGTCAATCTCAAGTAGAGGTAAATATTGCATGTTCATTACACATTGTTCAAATGGTTCATGTGACTAAAAGGCATGTACGCAATTTCTTATCATTGATGCCCTCTTGACACTGGGTGCAAAGGTACATATTAATACGTGTACACGTATCTATTAAGCCCTCCCACATAGGCAACAACTCATGCACCACTCACATGCCATACTGCATGTTCCGGACACGTGTTTCATATCCATGTACACCACGTGGATCAGGGCAGGAATCGAACCCGGGCCATAGAGCTTGAAGGCGAGGAAAGAACCAGTGCGCCAACCTGACTCCCCAAAACGTCATGAAATAATCTCTGTCCTATCATACAGTATATCGACGCTGAAACCCTCACCAGCTGGCTGCCCAAGTACGGCATGATCCTAGAGCTGGACCAGCAGGGTCAGATCATCCAGAGCCTGCATGACCCCACGGGGGAAGTGGTCTCATCTGCAAGCAGTGTCCTGGATACAGGAGACGCACTGTATGTTGGCTCAGCCGACAATAATTACATTGTGAAAATCGGGATGGAAGACCGACCACTGGAGAAAAAAACGCAGACTATAGAATCAAAGAAAGCATAGTGGATGCTTACTAATTTTGTTTTGAAAGATTTTTAAGGATTGAAAATGAAACTACATGTACTATTATTTTTTTTTATTTTGGAGATGGAGTAAGTTTAATTATTAGGCAATTTTTTCTCCCTCCCTCTTTCAAATGCAATGCATTCCTTTTGTACTTCACGTAACGCATTGAAAAATTTACTATAAAAAATAGACATTAAGAAAAGATGATAATGAAGATGCAAGACTTATAAAAAAACAGACTCTTGAAAAAAAATACATTCAGGAAATGTTATAAAGTGTAAGTGGTAGAATGTACTTGAGCTCAAGTGTAACAAGATCAGAATATGCCAAAAACATCAAACCTGCTTGTGAACCAGTGTAAGTCTTGTGAAAACACAACTTGTTCATGTTTTGAAAAGAAATCATCAGACAACAGATACAATGTTGTGTCATGCGCAGACAGGGCCAGCAGTCAGTGGGTCCCCCCTCCCCTTGGCAAAAACCATAAGTATAAACTATATGTGTATTTGTGATTTTGGTGTGATGTGCTCCCCTATGGCCCCGCTAATGCCTGGAGTTGACAACGGAGCTGTGTGCTGAGCTTAAAGGGAATATACATCATTTGCTTTTGCTGTAATTTTCAGAAATGGATGGAATTGGGGGGTTGGAAATATATAGCAAATATAGTTACACTGACTTTTTTGAGGTTTTGGGTTCGAAAATGCTATAAAAACCAAGAAAAACAATCATTTTCCTGTAGTCTGGTTCCCTGACTCCATTTAAGAAGAAACAGAGCAGTTTACATACATTGGGGAATTGTAAGGTCAGGGAACCAGTCTAGCTGGCTTGTACCCGTTCATAGGTGTGTAATCGATTGCAAACAAGTGCGATGGTCAACTGGGGCCAGTATTTGAAATAAAGCCAGTTTTTTCCAACGCTGATCGGCCGATCAGCGTTGGAAATTGATACAAAAATACCACTTTTCTTGAAAATGACAGTATACCAGGTGCCATGATTTTACAGGATGCTTTACACTGTCATTCACTAACAGTCCAGCAAGGTATTTCAAAATGATTTGGTAGTTTTATTTTTTGATGTTTGCAAATGTTGCATTTTCCCTTTAACTTTGAGCTGGAACCAGCCACATTCTGTTGTAGCACATATCACTTTTGGACTGCTCTTGTTCTGAAATTTATAGAAGTCAGGGTTCAGGAGCTCCCATGGTATAAGTTTGTCCTGTAAACATGGGATGCGTCTGTTTTGTGCACAATTATAGTAACAATTACACATTACTTCTAACAATCTTTCTATTTTACAGGTTATAGTTACATTTTCAAAATTTTGCAACAAAGGCAAACCAAATGGTTGCATGATATTTTTACTGACTGAAATCTCAGTATTACCAGATAACTTGCATATGCAATTAATGCTTATAATTTAATGACATTAACAATAAAACGTATTTTACTGTTCTGTGTACTGTAATGAAATTAAAATAATCATTTATTGTATGAATGCAATACCCATCACAAAAAGGGCTTAATACCTTTATTCCAAATGTGATTGAAGATACATTTTTTTATATTTTATATTTTGGCCAAAAAGGCGAAATATTTTTCTATACATTTTGTCCGTTGATAGAAGGTGCATTGTATGGTACTAAATATTTTGATATGTTTGTACTAGAAAACGTATATCAGAATTTATTTTTGCATTGATGAATATCAATTTTTTCTTTTGAAGAAAAAGGGAATTTGTAGTTTGAAAAGCTTTCTTTATCTTTGTTTTGTTCTGATTAATGTGTTCTGTAGTATTTTAATTATTAGTCTGTGTAAGTGAAATTATTCTGTAAATGTTTACAATGTACATGCCATTTTCAGAGATGCAACTGGCTTTTGAAAAAAAAACCCAGAAATCTAAAAAAAAAAAGGGGCGGGGTCATAATAGCGTAAAAAGAATATTTGTACTGACAACTGGTACAATAGATTAAAATTGCACTCGCATCAAAAACACAGCTGTTTTCATTAAATTCATTGAATTCTAATACAAAGTCCAATTTCGAGGAGAAAAAAATCTCAGAAAGATCGAAATTTGGAAGGAAAGTTGAAGACCTCCGAATTTCAATGAAAAGTGGAAAAGTTGCATCTCTGAACATTCGCTCTTTTCACACTCCGCCATTGGGCATGCACAGCCTCGATCTGGCATCTTTACACAGTAAAAATAGCCGACACGGGAATCACTGAACCGGCTATTTTTATTGTGTAAAGTTTCCAGATCGAGGCTCTGCATGCACATGGCGGAAGTTTGAAAAGGGCGAATTGAAGGATTTTCTTCGCATTTCAAGTTTGGATTAACGTGGCAGTGCTCTTCCAATGTTTGTAGCAATTCAGCTTTTGAGTCTGTAAGCACCAAATACACCTCAAAGGGAAACTGAATATGCACAATTGAACTCAGCATTAAGGTTGAACAATGACGCTGACTAGACCGGGTTTAATCTGTTGTCCTAGTTATGCTTCGGTTGTTCAACATTGTATTGATTCTCTCCATAACACGCAGACTATGATCACAACATCCTTGCTGTCATTATTTCAGATAAGACCTAATAAAGGAATTTCTACTTAAACATATTCAGAGAAAAAAAAGGTGTATTTTTTTGTGGCCTGTTTTCTTAGCAATCCTATTGACCTATCGCGGCAGAATCAGCAGCTTGTGAAAAATTGTCCAATTACATGATATACAAATGGACGTGAAACGTGCAACATCTGAGACAAACAGAACTTAGTGTACACAAATTCCATAGGGGTGTCTAAGGTGCGTGGCTAACTCGCAAACGGCGATAGGTCAACTACAGGGTGTGTCTAAAAGAAAGTGTCCTTGATTAAACATTTTTTTCCCCTTGAAAAGCAATTAAATTTGACACGCCAACAAAGCATAAATGAGCTTGTTCTACTCATTTGGTAAAAGGAATTTACTGAAATTGATCTGTGCTATGAGAAGTTATGCATATTTTACTACAAGAGTCCATTTTTACAGCTGTCCACAGAGAATGCCATTTGAAGCTATTGATCTGAGAACCAGAGACTACACACAGGCATTGAGATACAAATGAAGTTTGTCATAATTTTTTTCAAGACTGACATATGAGTTTTACTGTCATATTTTGAATATGTTTTTGAATATGTTTTGAATATGAGGAATATTTTTCTGAAATAATGACAGTCCTTTGTGTCCATTTTCCTGTGCGAATTTTCATTCATTCATGAAGGCAGGAGAATGCCCTTGTTTCATTGTACATGTATTTGAACGGTAAATGATCATTGGTGGACAGCTGAATTTTGTGATGTTTGTATTAAAATAGACACAACTTGTGAACATAGAATGCAAATTACATGAAAGTTTCACAGTTACTAGTCAATAATCTGTACTTTCTCTGTTTTTTTTTATAATAATAATAATAATAATAATATTGGCTATTTATAAAGCGCACGTATCCACCAGGACTGGTGCTCAAGGCGCTACATCATTATTACCCCTGCTCATTGGGCACATGAAACATTCCAAATACCATCTCAGCTCCCTGGGGAGTATACAGCTCGATGCAGCCTGTTAGGCGCAAGGTAGCTAATTCAATCACAATAACCATCTCTGCCCTCACAGGTACCCATTTACTCCTGGGTGGAGAGAAGCAATGAGTGACAAAGTGCCTTGCCCAAGGGCACACGCACCATGACCCCGCCAGGACTCGAACCCACAACCTGCAGCTTTACCCGCAGACCACGAATCAGTGCCCTTAACCACGAGGCCACAGCACTCCACATTGAATGGAGCCAACCACATATTTTTTTCTCATTAAATCACTTTCCTTTTGACTTACCCTGTACAAACATCCAGGAAGGGTGCAGTCAATTTGATAAAGCTTTGATGTCAACATTTCATTTATTTATATTTTGGCATTTGCATCATTCATTGTTTCTTCAAGTTCAGTTGATTAGCCTACATTAAGGAATCGGTGATATGTTTCCGCTTAATGAAAAAAAAAATCTGCTGTAGTCATCAACTTCCAGCAAATGCATGTATAAAGTTGCTAAACAGGTCTTGTTTTTCAGGATATGCCATAAAAAGCCAATAGTAGCCAATCTTGGAATTGTTTGGTACCGAGTCTCCTGAATAAATATAGGTTAAAATGTAAGTTTTTTGCAATGGATGAATATGGGTCATTAAATAAATTTAGAATCCAAAATGTGACATATTTCCTTTCCCCGTTATCTTGGTACTTTAGGTAGTTTGCTATTCATAATCACTCATTCATTATTGAGTGCATTGGGATAAGAGAATCATAGAAGTCAGATGTAATAGGGACAGAAAAAAGTGGACCCCAAAGTCATAGAATGAAACAAATCTCAAAAGCCAAAAAAGTACCTTAGCTATGCAGCCTAAAGAGCTAATTAAGAGGAAACGAGGAAGAAATCTTTGGTGTTTTTTTTCTTTGGGGGGGGGGGGGAGGGGAGGAAAACCTGAGGAAGACCTTGCATACCAATTTGGGGGGGAAACTCATGGTACCAGCCCAAAGCCCTGTTCACGGAGGTGGAAGGCAAGGAAAGAACCACTAAATATCTACCATTGTGTTTGTCTTTACTTCCCGTATACATGTATATCTCCATTCTCCTATCCTTGTTGATGGGGAATGTCATACTTTATTCAAAATGATGAATATATTTTTCCATCCAAATGTGACTACACGTAACAAAGAAAAGAAGTGAAAAGTCAGTTTTTTTAACACAATAACTGAACATACTTTCTCAGTATAATGACCATTATGTAATTGCCCCCAAATTCCATAATACATGTAGAAGTCAAAACTTTGTGAAATGAACGCATTGTAAGAAAGTTACTCCTCATTCTGCTTTTATCAATTGGTATTTCAATCTGATTCCAATTATTATCTTGTAAGAACAAAATTGGACCGATGGACAGATGAAAGAAGGAACACATTTTCCCTTTATGATGACAGTAACACAAACATAAACTCACAGACAGGTGCTTTTTACCAATTTCCTCTTTATTTTTCATGTTGAAACGGGCAAAATATAGCTTTGCTCTAACTCAAGCATTTCTATGGTACAATTTACATTTACAATTAACAGCCAAACAGAACTTCCACAGGGAAACAAAATTGATAAACAATACTTGTGCATCGTCCGTGTGTCATTAAGCAAGCTCAGCATTGCTTATACATTGTATTGAAATAAAGAAATAAAAAAAAAATGGGTGGCTTTGAGCGAAACAGAACTGCATTACCCATTATTGCTTACAGCTGCAGTCTCTGCTGATCAGATCACCCAATAAGAGCATTGTTCGGTACCACCGGATAATACTGGTTAACACTTGGAACCACTGGGTATAGGTGACAGGGTGTACATGTACCAAAGGCATCGCTGGGTACCACTGGGTGCCAATACAAATGTACCACTTGGTACAACTGGGTGCCCCTCGGTTCACCTGGGT